TGTATGCCTCAAAAATTGACATATCAGTCAAGAAATGCGTTATTCGACCATAATACAGAAAAGATACATATTTTAATTAGCAGATTTAAACGTGTATATATAGACCGGAGGGAGAAAGTAAAATAGGGAGGATGAAGGATATGGCAATATTGAATGGCTTTATTCGTGGTTTTATCCAAATTTTCAGGTCCTGTCACTTTTAACCTAACATATTTGACAGCCATCACAAATCGTTCTAAAAACATTTGAATCGGTAACAGACATTCGCCTGTCAACAGAGCCTGCTTAGTTTTTAAATAACAGGGTATCATGTTCTGATGTCTGGCTGATTTAGACGAGTGAAAGAGAAAAATTTGATACAAAAAAAGGGCAGATATTTGTACTATATCTATGTATACGCAGTAAACAACGTTTTAAAATAAAATCACCAAATCATCATCATAGGATCGACAGTTTTAAAACTGCTACAACACGCACCTCCACTCTTTCCTATCCTGAGCCAATCTTCACATTTCCCTAAAACTAGAACATCCCACAAACCTAACCCGTACAGTGCTCTCAAACATACACCTTAAACAATCTTCTTAGAAATTCTAAATTAACCGTTTGCCAGTGACTTCTGTAGGTTAAAGGCGACTCGACCCTGCTCCATCCTTTTCTCTTATATCTCTACTGCTCCATTCATCCTGAATTATCTGACTTCCTAAATACCTCTCCTAATTTTTCGTCATCTATCTTTATATTTACTTTTTGCATCTGCAAGTCTAAGCATACTAATCTATCCTTAATATAAGATTTTCCTGCTTTTAATGATATTAGTCGCGTCTTGGGTAAGTATATAGAAAATAAAATAACAGTTTCTATTCATTGCAGTCATTGCGTTTAGGAAATGTAACAAGATTGGATTAGAGTTAAATTTAATTTAATGCTGGGCAAAGTGATTTTCCTTAACCCTACCATAATTTTACTCACAATCAGAAGCACTAAAACTGCTGGAAAATTATTTTACTGTAGTATATGCTTGAATTTATCCTCGTTCAAATTAAATATCCTTATCCTCAGAGCAGACTGAAATTAAACTAGAATAACATACTTCACGTTACATTAGTGAATAGTTGTACGGTTTTCTAACGGTCGAAAAGGAATAAAATTTTCTAATTTTCTTTAATGCGTTAAAACATCACAAACGAATAACTGAATGTTAAATTTTATTATGCAGCATTAAAAACTACTAGTGAAATTGAATTTACTTTGCGTACTCTGAATTTTTGAAAATTACTCTTTTATTTCAATTACAATGCGCGTTTGTATTAATCCAATTATCTTTTCAATTCAGATAATGTTAAAATTAGTTTTTAGAGGTACTCATACTAATTTGATTATATTTGAATATATTATAATTTATTTTATTAATATACTGTTTGGATGATTATTGTCTTCATTAATTATTTTAAATTGTGTAGATATGATGCATAAAAACAGTTTTACATACACCACTGACCTCTAGTTTAATAACAAAACAATAATAGAATATAGAAAAAGCAGACTTCATTAAAAATCTATATGCCTACCTATAATAGTAATTCAGCATTCTACATTCATTAAACAAGACTGCGGAACGATCGGTCGCATGTTTTTAGAGAAATAAAAGCTGCAAGTCACTATATGTTGACAAAAATATAAAAACATCGAACTAAAACGTATCTAGTTTCTTAATATTTCGGTATAGTTACTATACCTAAAAATCTAAAAGCTTCAACTATTCCTATTCTTATATAACAAAAACATATAACTTGGAATGAAAATAAAAATACAGCTTTAAAAATATGTAAAAACTTGTCGAAGAAGCATTGTTATAACACAATGATGAAAAATCAACCAATAATTCATCGAAAATCGAGCCGCGATGGGAAAATTATATTGTTAGAAAAGTAGAGAAAAAACGACCTGTCTAACGCAAAAACCGAACGAAAAACAGAACAGAACGAAAGAAGCTGTTAAACTTTAGACTCTTGAAGGGAACTGGAAAAATTTTATTTATGGCACAAGTTTTATTGCAACTTGCTGCCAAAAAGACCTAAAATATATTATATAAATTGCTGCAACAGAGCGCCTTCAGCCGTTTTATAGGCATGAAGGATCCATCTGTTATTTTTTCTTTCACCTTTTAGAGACTTAGACGAACATCAGTACTCGATTTTTTTTATTTTTAAATCCAGTTCATCGATTAGATACATATAAAAACTATAATAGATGCGAATGGATAAAATCTGCGACTACGTAATTCCATATATTGCCAAAATAAAGAAAAATAAACTCTATTCTTAGTTTCATATATGAATAATGACAACGTTACTTTTAGCTTTTTAATACTTTTCTTAATGTGACCCACTAAATCGGCTAAACTTATCTTGATCTCATATTTTCAAAACACAAGGTCCAAAGTTTCATTAAGCTAGGGACTTGATATGAAAATAGTGTGGAGCGCTACTAGTTCAGAAAATAGAACTCCATCATATTAAGCTAACCTAGTTGGAGATGCTATATTTATTATTCAAATTTAAACCATTTATTTGGGTTATAAACCTAATAACATCACCTGTTGATTTTTATAATTGTATTTTGTAGCCTTTATATTACTTCATTAGAATAAAAGAATCAAAACAAATATTTTACTTGTAAAATCAATAAACAATAGTGAGCAATATGCGTTACCTTTTGTTATTGTTCTAAGTAACTTTCTCACTTCAACGTATTTTTTGACATGACAACGTCTTATAATTCGATGCACGCACGAAAAAACATGACTCATGCGGCGTTACCTCACTCTGAGTCGTTCCATTTAAGGCTTGAAGTGCAAGCGAGAGCGCGGAACGAGCGACAAAGAGGCACAATCGACCTCCGCGTTCGGTAGCGTTCGACATTTGCTCTCTCCTACTTGAGTGAGCGATGCGTCCGCGTGGACAGCAATACATTTCCATTTACCTCCTTCTCTATATCCATACAAAATATCTATCAAACAAATAAAATTAAAATTTTCTTTGAAAAAATGAAACCATTCCATCACTATTTTCTTATGACGTTTTCACGTTCAACTATCGTCAATAAACCGACTTTACAGGCAACCGATTTTTTCATTGGTTTGAGCATTCCATAAAAACAGCCGCTCAAACTCTTGTAATTTTTGAATGATGCACAACTTTTCTTGTACTCATCACTATACACATACAAAAGAGATACTCTATAAAGCTCTAAATGCGAGCATGTCATCAGAAAAAGCATTTACTTTTCAATTGATTAAAAATTCCTTTTCGATTTAACAGTGGCTCGGCTTTTATCTGAATGTACGGTAATAAAATAAGCGAGACTAAAGCCCGTATCAATCAGAACAAGTAAAGTAAACTTCCGATGCTGCGGTCTCTAACTTTTGCCGATTTTGTTTTACAGGCTAAGGGACGAGTTTAGACACATGCGGACGAGTTTGTGTTTCTTTCAAGGGAATGTATAGCATGTTCGGAATGCCAAACAGTCGTTGTTTCCCATTTGAACTGTCGAACTCGCTTTTTATACGGGAGATGGCAGAGGGGTTGGTTTGGCACCATCGATGGCGACGGTGACCTTTCTCGACTGATCCGCCATGCCGATTTTCAAATTGGGTTATTCGCTATGTTAGTACAAAAGATGTGAATATTTTGCCCTTTTGCTCGTACCATAAAGTCTCCCGTGAGATCGGGGCAGCCTGAACGAGAAAGGAGTCGATGCGGAAGGTAAAATCCGGTCTTGAATAAAGTAGCGATTCTCAGTAACATATTTTGCAATTTATGTTCGCAATCTCGTAATTGATCAATATTTACGCGAGTAGCAGTATATGAGCAACGACTATGGACGAAATGCACCTGATTTTAAGAAATCCTCCGTCTATTTAAAGATTAGCATTAATGTAATGGTATTATAAGTGAAGCCAAAATTAGCCTTTAACTTAAGTAAAAATCAAATTTGGATGGATAGGTATCGTCGCCAGTGGTGCACACCACTTACTGTAGCAGCAAATATAGAGACAGAAACAATTTGTAGGGATAATAAAGATAATATTGTAGTAACCCTTTTTCCTGCAGATTGTTTGAATTTCTATTGCAACGTTAAAGAACACAAACTTACTGCAAACTTTTCTTCTATCTTGTACGTTTATGTTGTATTCAAATAAAGGCAATATACCGCCATCTGGTTGGCATTTCTTGCTACTGAGGTATTTCAAATGTTAGGCAAGGCTTAACTGATTCGACGTACGTGAGTGAAGCGTTTGTATGTACCTATGCGGTAACAAAAAATCTCTTCGAAGTTGCATTGTAAAATTAGCAGACAAAAATATAAACCAGGGGATAATTAGGCGCAAATTAACCGTGATCCATAGCCTGTCAGGTTAATTTAAAGCTACCTATCCCATGTTTTATATTTTTTCCATGTCAATTTCAAAGAGAATTATTGTTACTGCAAACATACAAACGTTTGACTTAGAATTATAAGAAATACTACTCTAACTTGCAAATAATATCAGACAGTGTTCTGACAAAGTTACGATTCTGTTGAAATATGATGCAGAGTCGGGCCGCCAAATCGCACGGTACAAATTCATTTGTAACGTCGGCTACATGAAAATTAGGATGTTGAGGAGGTTTTGGAGCAGCACCGAAGTTCAGATGCTGAACATACATGTAGCTATACATGGCACCCAACATACGGCCCGATTACTACCCATTTAGCGATTAAAGGGCCTGTACTGTACAAAGTGCGAGTTTAGGGAATTACAGCACTTTATGTTTATCAACAAGTACACACACTCCAACCTCCAACGGGAAGGAAATACAAAATTTATGCACATGTAAAAGGTTATAAATGTAGCCATAAAAAAAGGTAACAGGAGAGGGTTGATTCCAACCGATTGGATACAGCTCTCTTATGAAAAATGTCAAAAGTAATAACAAAACCAGTAAAACACTTACCACAGTAGCCACGTCGAAAGGTTGAGGGTATCATCTTCACACTGAGCGGCTTATTTTAACTGTAAATAAGAAAAGAAACTAGATATAACGAAGTATTCATACAAAAATAAATACTGAAACATTAATATTGTAGCGAGCACGAGTGTGTTTGTGTGCGATCGGGCACACGTGTGTGTGAACGGCTTATCGATTCGCCGACTAGCCGTGGGCGCTTTTCTTCATGTGCGCCGTATTTGTAAAGGTGTGTGTCGTACCTGAGTTCTGGGAAAGCAGTTAAACAGTTCAAAAAAAAAATAAACTATCCGGATGTTTCCAGAAGGATTCAGAAAGTAAACAAAAGAGTATTTAAAGGAAGAAACGATCGCCGAGGAGTAGTAGAAATAATTTGACAGTGATAGAACTGAAATAAATAGCGCAGTAATAAATAAATTTAAATAAAAAATAAATTTAATAGTGTTTGTAAGTTCTTTAATAATTAGTGTAAATAAACCCACGAACATTACAATATCAAGTCTAAAAATGAAACAGTTCAATATTTTAAAAAACAACACAATTTTTGCACATTCAAAAGAAAATATAAGTATTTTACATACATCCTAATAATAACAAACAGCGAATTGTAGTGTAATTTGTTACAGTGCTTGCTGTACTGTTATCGCAGACATAGACATGTATCTTCATCTTTTTCGTATTCGAGGCCCTGCTCATGATCCACATACGTGAAAATGGATCATAACTCACGGCCGGGCGGGCTCCTAAAGCCCGTGTTATTGGCACTAATATTCCGATCGCGCATTTAAAATATGCAGATCTCACTGCGGAGGTGATGAATGGGCCATATTGTACATACGTACCGGGACGTTCAGATTCCTCCAAGTACATACGTTAACCCAATATTCCCGATAAAGGCGATATCTGCATAACATTCACCTACTACTCCTTACTGCATCGACAGGTTCGATTTTGACAGTCGGTTTTCACGAATATGAACGTTTTGATGCTGAAGTTGTACTTACAAAAATAACAAAAAGTTGCTCGAATAATTTTACCAATTTCAAAAGGACTAATTTATACTGATAAAAAGTTTCGAAGTAGGGTAGGTTTTAGAGATGTAGGGTGCAATAGTAATAAAATAAGAAACGAGGCAGACAAAATGAGGAAAAGGCGGGAGATAGGTGGAAGGAATATTTAGAGAACCTATAAAAAGGTCATGACTTAGGAGATATATTAGAGATTTAGAGAAGGATGATAGTGTGGAGATAGGTTAGCTAGATTATCCCATAATGAGAGAAGAGTTCGATGTAGCATTAAAAAACTTAAAGAATAATAAGGCGCCAGGTATAAATGGGATACAGGGAGAAATTCTAAAACATGCAGGATAAGATATCAGAGTATGTTTAAGGTAGTTAGTCAAATTTTCGAGAATGCGAAAGTTCCAGAAGAAACAGAGGCGCGGATAGGTGCGAGACATTTAGAACAAATAGCTAAACTTCCCTTGCGTCAAAAGCATTAACTAGAATTGTACAGAGGAGGATAAAAAAAAAGGACGAAAGAATTAATAGGGGAAGATCAATTTGGATTTAGGAGCAATAGAGGAACGCGAGAGGTAACAATAGAGAAAACGATAGAAAAAAGAAAGAGTGCGTACATAGGATTTGTATAATTAGAAAAAGTTTTTGACAGTGTTAATTGGGACATGATGTTAAAAATACCTAAAAATTAGGGATGAGTTACAGACACAGAAGAGTGATACTTAGTTTTTATAAAGATCAACAGGTAGTTATAGAGTTGGAGCTGCAACGTAGAAAAGTAAATATTAGGAAGGGAGTCAGACAGGGATGCACAATGTCACCGCTACTTTTTAATCTTTTCATCGAAGAAGCGATTAACATCATTAAAGACAGTACAACTCTAGGGATAGATGTACAGGGGCAAAAGATTAGTATGCTTAGGTTTGTAGATGATACAGTAGTATTAGCATTTAGCAAGGAGATAGATTAAAATAAAATGGAAGCGGTATTGACCAAAACAGTATTGTATGAAAATAAATAAAAGTAAAACAAAAATACTGGTATACAAGGGGAGAAAAGGTAGAGAAATAGCGAATATAAAGATAGGAGACGAAAAATTAGAAGTAGCTGATTTTAGGTATCTAGGAAGTCAGATAAGTCAGACGGATGGAGTAGTAGGGATATAAAGCAGAGGATAGCGCAGGGTCGTGTCGCCTTTAATAAAAAGAAGTCACTTCTATGCTCGCGAACGGTTAATTTAGAAATTCGAAANCCTGGGAAGTCAGATAAGTCAGACGGATGGAGTAGTAGGGATATAAAGCAGAGGATAGCGCAGGGTCGTGTCGCCTTTAATAAAAAGAAGTCACTTCTATGCTCGCGAACGGTTAATTTAGAAATTCGAAAAAGATTGTTAAAGGTGTATATTTGGAACGCGGCTTTTGCTTTACTAGATTTTAACACTAAATACAAAAAAAGACAAACTTTGTGTACCACTGTTTGAAAAAGGCAATGAATGTTCTAGTAGTAAGTGGTCTTCGTACCTACATGTTCTAGGAGTAGTTTTCTTCGTAACTACGTCTGTGTAACACACAGTTGAAATATAGAGACGAACTAATTTTACTTTGAAAGAAGAGTCAATTTATGTATTAGAGGAAGGGTATGTTCTCGAGAGGGACAGTCTTGGTCTACGTTTTTCTTTGTTCATCACTAGCAGCTGTCAAGACCAGCTTTCATGATTATATCAATATATGTATATATTGTTTTATGTTAAAAATATTACTATATAGTGCAATTTCGTTCTAATAAATGTGTTTCTTTGTAATATATTTTTTAAGTTTTTATGACAGAACTGTAGAGCTAAAGCAAGCAGAAATAAATCCAAACCTTATCCCAAACTTTTTAATTAAAAAGTGGAGGTTTTAATTCACAGTTTTAAAACTCCACACTTTAAATCCTTAAAGGTTGGACGCTTCTTTTCACTTAAGGCAATTTAACTGACTCTTCTTTTTTGTTGTATATAACCAAAGACAAAAGAAACTAATTTTAAATTTCATCACTGTAATGTTTTAATATGTTAATGCTAAATGAGGGTAAAAAATTTTTTTTTAATGTAATTTTGTGTGAAATTCAATAAAATAAAACGAAATCCTGGTAAAACAGTAAAAGATTCGGATTTAAAATATAAATAAGTGTGAGTAGTTTCATGCATTTGATAGTTTTCGCAGTTAATAAATTAGTTGCAAATGTAACAAATGTAGTCCATGCATCTTCACTTGGTGGTATTAAATGCTCGTTATATTTTGTAAGGGTTGTAAATTATAACAACGGCCGGAAAATAGATCTTACAGTTTATTATTCACTACTTAATTTAAAATCATAACAACTGTAATTAAAACATCTTCAGAAGGTGTATGTATAAAGCAATTGTTATGGTTTTAAATTAAATTAAATAGTAGACATTAGGTTGTTTTTAGTGTCTGATATCGAGAGAAATTCGACATTTACTGAGCTATTAATATATGGAAGTTCAAAACTACTAGGTAACAAGGTCTATTTGAGTAAAAGAAAAAGGGATGATGTCCTAGACATTTAGGCTACATTGTGCCGAAGTTTCAAGCGATTATACATTGCGATATTATTATAAAAAAGCACAAGTAAAGACAGATAATAAAGTTAGATGTAGACAGCATTGAAAACTCGGAATAAATTTGAAGTTTTCTTTTTCTGACGCTAGTCTGGGATGACATCGTATTTTCAATAAACAGGACTGGAATATACTTATTAAAAGCATCTAGTGCCTATTTAAAAAAACCAAATGTAACTTTCCATATAAAAAACTTCTTCAAATATAAAGCATTGTCGTAAAAATATTATCGCAAAACTTTTTCGGTAACAATCTCATTTTCACAATCGTCAGATACAGTTTTATTATTGCGTTTTTTTAACACTTGCTGTTTTTTCTAACAGCTTCTACCAACTTGTAGTAGTATATCCTCTCGAATAAGGGGATAAAATCCAATACAAAACATCCTACCATTTTGATATACAGCCTTCAGGATAAGCACTAATATAAAAAGTTTTATTTGGCTGTAACTACAAACAAGTTGAAGATGATTTATACATGGCAAATTTTCGCGTATCGCAAAGAAACATAAATTCAGCTACGGGTTACGCGGTCAAAAAAAAGAAAAAAAAATAAGTGGTTTAATAAAAGTGGAAAGTATTCTGTAGATATACACACTTAAACAAACTAAATTTAATAGAAGAAGTACTAGGGGAACGTAGATAATTTTTAATTGAAACATTTTTGCAATTTTACTTTCTTCTTTGCTGCTAATTTCTTTTGTTATATTACATTCGCTACTACTTTTTGCAGTTGTTCGATCAAATTCAAAAATAGGCGAATATGTTAAAAGCTTTTTTTTAAGTATTTGTCATATTTGCCCAGCACTCACAAATTCTGTATTTAAACCAAGATTTTTCAGAGTAATATGGAGAAACAATTCGATGAGTTAATAATATAATTGTCATTATTTCATGTAACGCACATACTGCGCATATGTAGGTAGATACACATACACCAT